CGCCCAACTTCACTTCTACGTGGGGCACTTCCCATTTTTCCCGCTTATTTCTTCACTACTGAATCCGTTTCTACCTTGCTCTCTGACCGCATAGCTGATCATTTTTGAACGCGGGCTCAGTCTTTGATCTATGTCTTCAATGGCAGTTGATTCCATTTCACCTTACAAAGAAAAGACTTTTAAGAGGTCGTAGAATGGGTTCGGTCTAAAACCGATCCGAACTACACGCCACCTCCGGAAGCCGTCGTTACTCTCACTGCTGCTAATTTCACTGCGTTTGTGAGCGAACAAGCTCTCTGTCTTGTGGAGTTTTACGCGCCATGGTACTTTTCTGACGTTTTGTCATTAAATTGACTGCATATTGATCGTTGTATTAACTAAGGTGTGGTCACTGTAAAAACTTGGCTCCACAGTACGAAAAGGCAGCAAGGAAGCTTAGGGTAAGTATGCTTTTTTGCCTTATTTTTCTACATGTGTTATTTCACATTTGATGAGCTACTGGACTCGGGTTTCATGGAAGGAATCGGCGTGCTCCACATTTTCAGGATCAGGGTAGTCACATCAAACTTATTAAAGTGAATGCGGAAGCAGAAAAAGAGCTCGCTCAACAGTATGGTGTCAGCGGCTTTCCCACTCTCCTTGTTATGCGCCATGGCAGAAGGTTGTGCTCATACTATACCTTTTCTGTTGATTTCTCCTAATGTAATTCACCTTTACCTTTTAAGATCGGAGTACAAGGGGCCTCGTGATGCCAATGGAATTATTAATCACATGAAGGATTTGGCGAAGCCAGCTGCTAAGAAACTTGAGAACGCCAGTGCTATTGACAGGTGTGTGGCTTGTTTTAATGGTAGAGCCCGTTCATTCAATGTTCCCACGCTTTCTTTGGATATGGTCACCTTTATTACAAGGATGGATTATAAACTATTTTCGCAGCTCAAGATACGACAGGAACCTATTGAAAGTACGAGAAGGATACTGCACCCAATGCTCTTTTATCCTCCACACGCCTCTACAAAAAAGCCTAATTATTATTTCAAAAAAACATGGCAGAACGATCCCGCCAACCTGATAGTGCTCGCACTCCCCAGGGTTTATGGAAATATTTCGAAATACGGAGGCCCACTCTCACCACTCCAGTTTGCATTCACCCTAATCTTAGAAGCTTCATCCTACCATACCTGTCCATATGATTTTCTTTTTGTTGATCCTTCAGAGTTCCCATTATCCAGAAGCAATTTCGTATTCGAGGCTAATAGGATGGAGGGGGACGGGGGGGGCGTCAGTGCCAGGTGTGATGGAAGGTTGTTACTATCCCTGCTCCACCACGAGGGACAAGTTTGAAGCAAATATCATGATCTCAAATTCGAAAAAGTTTGTGAGGGATACTTCGATCTGTAGATGCAAATATCCCACCAGCACGGCGCGGAAACGCCTGCGGCACGCGGTCAGATGGAGGCACGACCAGCCTTTTCAAATCCAGCAGTTATTAGCCTTGTCAGAAAGTGTTGGAAAACTGTTTTCGATGAAGAGAAAGCCTTTCCATGCCGTGCTTTTCTTTCTAGCATGTGAACAACCCAAGAAAAGCTTATAAGCATTCGACAGAGGGCTTGGCAGACATTCAGTAAGCCAGTCCTGTCTCAGAGGCTGTCCCAAAGTGACAGTAAGATAGTACAAGGCGAACTTGAGTCGCCTCCCAGCTACCTCTTAGTCACTCTTATACGCTATTGGCTGAGCTTTCGTGCCTGAAACGTACAGTTCATGCACAGAACACTTCCATGAATAAGACGCGAAAGTGGAAGTAAATTGAGTCAGTACGGCTGTAACACAGCGTCCGCCACCCAATGACGAAAACCTCCACCTAATGAGGAAGTTCTTGGTAAGCCTTTGACCGCTATTTACCTGTCATCGTCGTATTACGGTCCGGTACATACAATTCGTGCTGCTATTTACTATTGTTGGTAACTTCTCAGAGAGAGGCATCAGTCGTATCCCAATTATATCCTCTTTTCTTGTGAAACAGCTTGGAAAAGCGCTTTCTTTGCTTGGTTTCTTACTGCTTTTCTAGCTCTGCTGTTTCAGATTCATGGAGAAAGAAGATGTAACAATCGTGGCATTCTTTGCTAGCGAAGACTCGACAACATTCGAAGCTTTCAGCGAAGCGGCGGAGATGCTACGAGAGGTATATAATGGAAAAAGGTTCATTCTTGGCTATCTGATCTCTTCCTTTTTCGTTCAGGATTTCAAGTCCATGGGTTACACTACCGACTCGAAAGCATTCAAGAAATTTGAAGCGAAGCCTAATGATATCATTATCTTCTACCCAACAATATTCCAAAGTAAATTTGAACCCAAAAGCAGGACGTTCAACAAGGTGAGACGCTTGGCTCTAGAATTCTTTGGAAAATCCTAAATGCAACTTCTTTCAAGCCTGGTGCTACGCCAGAGGAATTGACTGCATTCTTCCGTGACCACTGCACACCTCTTGTGGGCAAAAGGACCAAGGTTGGTTAATACTGTCGTATTATTTTAGTTATTTAGAGTATATGTAAACCGTTCTTTTCTAGGATAATATCGCAACTCGATACACCAAGTTCCCACTGGTTGTTGTCTACTACAACGCTGACTTCTCATTGCAATACAGAGAGGGTAGCGAATATTGGCGTCAGAAAGTGCTGAATGTGGCGCAGAAGGTTTATTTTTGTTTGATGAGTTTGGTTACGTCTAACTGCTGTCGATGCACTCCACATCCCTGAGTTGCTGTAGGCGTGGCTGCGTCCTTACTTTAGCGTAGCGTGATGGGTTTTCTTTGGGATAATTGTTTTTTGAGACAGCTGTCAATCTTGTCTTGGACAGAGATATGACTACAGTTGTTCCAAAATGGTTGCAACGGTGTGCCGTTACCAATATATGCGCTTTGCATTTCCTTTTCTTTCAGTACCAAAAGGATAAATATCGCTTTGCTGTTGCTGACGAAGAAGAGTTTGAGGATGAATTGAAGAACGTTGGACTAGGTAGGATAATGGCTAATTACGTAGTTATTGCTTTCATTTTTACTGTTTCGTTCATTATTTCTTTTTACTTTATTCATGTGTTCTTGATTCTAGTGCTCTAGAATCCAGTGCTCTACACTTCGAATCCGGGAGACGGGAAGGCTGCGTTTGAAGTTAATTTGAACCTTGCCTTTTAATTTCATTAAAACCTGAAAGTGGCTACGCCTACTTTCTACGGTAACATGTTTCCGTTGTGGGATCTTTTAATCATATTCGGTCCCACAGAAGTCATAATGACAGTAGTACCAAACGAAAATGTCCCACAGAAAGTCCATCCTACGTCGTGTTCAAATGAAATACGCATCCACGCCCTTCCCCATATCTAGGATATGAACTGTCCTCTTCACTCTTCATACCGTACCTCACGTCTGATTTTCATATTCTGTATTTGCGAATTTCTAGCTTGTCTTCAAATTACTTTTTGGGATTTTTCTGTCACCCCTTACGAGTTGAGGAAAGTCGAAATCAATGGTGAAAGAAAACGGATGTTGACTTCGTCTATTTCCTGTATCGTTCGTCGTGACTAGAGAGCCATGAGCATTTGTTGTTGGCTGTTCTTAAACTTTCAACATATTTATTCTGGGAGCTGACTTCATGATTTTCCTTTCCCTTTCTTCGCTTTCTTTTGTATACTTTCACACTCTATTTTTGTCCTCATTTATCTATCCCTTGTCGGACCTGGTCTCAGGATTCTGTCTGCCGGATATCCTCGCCTCTACCCTCTGATCATTTTCTCTCTTTTCATCCCTTCCACTTTTTTTCTCACTGCCTCCGTTCTGAAGTTGCAAAGGCTCAGCCGATGAGTGCGTTGTATCCGTCTGACTGTAATTAAACCGATCGGTACTGCGATTTGTATCCTTCTAACTGCTTTCGTTTGCTTTTATTTTCCTGTTTTGAACTCTCTTGATTTCGACCCGCCTTCTTTCTTCCCCCAACGCCTACACGAAATGTTCAGAGGCGGCCGTTGAGTTTTGGTCCTGGTAGATAAGCAGGGCAGCACGGCTCAGCGTCGGAACGGGTGGAATGGCACTGTCAGCAGCGACCCTCCTCTCTGAATTTCCTCCTTCTGTGCGACCCCATCTCACAACCTACCTATGTCTTGTTTCTCAGAATGCCTTCGAGCGCGAGGATGGTTTTTTTTCATGCCGAGGAGCCATGAAACAGGAAAAATCAGTAGTCGGAAAAGAATTTCCCTCGAGGCCATGTTGGAGTAAGACCCTTCCTCCTGCGGCGAAATAGATCTCTCGATGGGTGTCGCAGAACTATGCCGCACTAATAGTTGCAAAGATTCATGAAAGTTCGTAGCGACATAGTAAGTGAACAAGGAACCTAAAAGTAAGGCTGTTAGTCTGTGTTCGAGGAATTCAACCAAATGGCAAATGATGCAGAGTTATGATACGGGGATTTGAAAAAGAAGACAGTTATGATACGGGGATTTGAAAAGAAGACAAAGTTTTCGGTGCTGTTAGATCTCCTTATGATGTGCACTACCCATTCTACTCCTTAAATCTCAGTATCTTTTGAATGCTATCCGACGTATGCAGTAAGTTTCGGGGGCTCGCCGATGTACAAGAAAGTGTTTTTACCCTCCCAGACATGTTGGTACCGATCTACTAGCCCCGAGGGATAGAATAACTGGTTTCCGAGGGTGAGAGCAGATCCGAGGTTAGGACCAACTAACAGCACCACGTAAAGCGGCGCCACCAGTTACCACATTACCTTCTCTCGTTAGTTAGTAAAGCCTACTTATTTGTTCATCCAATGTTCGCTGCAAATGCACGCTGGTCAAGAATGTTCCCAAAAGCAAAAACACAGAGAAATTTCACAGGTTTCATGATATTAATGGGATAATCAATGGCGTTTGTGCTCTGATCATAAGTATTTGCTTAATAATATAGCTGAATATCAGTACAATTCAATTGTTCGTTAGTTCAGCATTTAGCTAAGTTACTGGAAGGAGTGCGGAATTGTTCGGAATCTCCTGAAATACCTATGGTTGTTCTTGTTCCCAGTGTGAATTCGGACTTGATGCACAAGTTGTCGCGTTTTGAGTAACCGAGGTAAGCAAATGATCAATGAAATCAATGAGTTTTGATATGGAGATTTTTTATTAGAACTTGGAAGAATTCATAGAAGAAATTATAGCTCCCGGTACAGATTCTGATGTTTGCTCGGATTGAAAGCAGTTAATGGTAATTTCTCCACCGGAAAAGTAAAAGCATTCGTCAAGTCCGCTCCAGTGCCTCGTGACGACAAGGGCCCGGTGCGCACGTTAGTAGCTTCGAACTTTGACAAGGTAAGGAAATAATAATATTACTTTTGTAACAGTCATCATTACGCCATTCATTTGACGAAGCCGCTTCTATTCAGATTGTTGGTGACGAGAGTAAAGATGTACTGATCGAGTTTTATGCTCCATGGTGTGGGTCATTTGCAAGTATTTTTAACATTGGTTTTTACTGTAACGATACTAAAAAAAGTTGAAATTGGTTACGGTTTCAGACTTTCGAACCTAAGTATAAAGAGCTAGCGACCAATTTGAAGAAAACGCAACCAAATCTCATCATTGCTAAGTTCGATGCAACCGCTAATGATGCTCCACCCGCGTTCATGGTATCAGGATTCCCCACTATATACTTTGCTCCCAGTGGGAAAAAGGTGAGTCCCGTGTCTAACTGTACACTTGAGTTTACAATAATTGTAAATGTTTTAGTCAACTCCAATCAAATACGATGGAGATCGCGACCTAGAAGAGATCACCAAGTTCATGGAGTTGCATGCAGTAAAGTCATTCCAGAAGAAGGAAGATTCAAAGAAAGAAGAACTCTGAGCGATGGATCTCCCTGTTTTACTCGAACTATTGTTTCAAGAACTGCCTCCGCCTTTCTTTTCCTGCACTCACTTTTGTGTTCTTTTCTGTTTTCTGCGCTTTCGGCTTTAGCGTATGCTTCGGGAAATTTCCAGTCATACTTGATTATTTGCGGACGGTAAGTTTTTGGTAGTGCTGCTCTGTTATAGGCCTCCATGTCCCTAGGGTGTTGTTGAGAGCAATATGAAGTGCCGGCCAAACTTTTTTCTTTGGTGACGTCTCATTGCATACGTGTATTTATATGGTTGTTTGTAAAGTTTTCCATCTTTGACGTCTTGTTTTTTTTGGCAAAGTAGTTCCTTATCAACTGACTGTGCGTGTCATGGCAATAGAACTCATGGAGGGCCACTGAAAACCATCCTCTACGCTGACGACATCGCCCTGATAGCGGACAGCAGGGAAGAACTCCAGGACAAGGTGCAGCGGTGGCAGGATGTGCTCGCTGAGAATGGACTCCGCTGAACGTAAAGAAGGATAAGTTTCTAAGCTCCGAAGAGCGTGCAAGAGCCATGGAAGTCAGCTCCACTCAGCCGAAATGAGAATGCTAACAAGGGAAGGATGGTAGGTCAAGGCCATTTGAAATGAGATGTATACCGACTGAAGGGTCTTTGGACGGGATTACGAAACCGTCTTCCATATCTGCTGCGGACCTCCCAGAACAAAGTTACGGGGCCTTTTTAGGGGGAGCATAGTGGCATTCAATACGAATTAGCGGCGTGAGGGCTCATCGCTTGAAGCAGCGTGGCCGAGTGGATAGGTTGCTGTCTCGCTACGTATCCTCGCAGTCGCATTGTCGAGGGTTTGATCCTGGATGCGTTTGCTGTTTTCCATTTTTCTACAATGGTCTCTGTGCATTAAAAAGCATTTTTGCATAACTCTTGTGCTCGAGAATGCCACCAGTTTAGCAATGGGCGACCAAAGAATGTTTCTGAACGAATGGAGACATTGTGAACGATTCCATTTTGCCGAACATTCTTGGGCAACTATTAGGTTGGACGGAAAGTCCTGCGACACTTTGACCGAATTTTCGGACCAATTTTCCTTCACTAAAAGACACCTCCAATCGGTAAGGTACAGACGGCTTCGATCCAGCTGAAGGCACGAGAGCAGCGACTGCGATGGTATGGGCACGTACTGAGGAGGCCTGAAGACCACCCAATAAGGAAGGCATTGGAATTCGAAGTAGAGGGCAAGCGACCACGAGGAGCCCCAAAGAAAAGATGGAGGGACGTCATCAAGAAGGACCTCACTGAAGTGAAAGCCACGGCAGAAGATGCAGTGGATCGGAAAATGGCGACTAACAAGAGCAGCGGATCCTGCGACGGCGCGGGACATAGAAGTTCCTTATAACTGACCAGTTTTTGCATAGTTACCTGACCATACTTTCCTAAAGTGCCCGGAATCAAGGACCCTAGTCGCAGATTAACCCCGCCTCCCTGGACTACTTTCATTGTCCCAGGTCATTGAGGATTCCCAGGTGGCGATGAATCCGAACAAAGCAGGGAACCGGTGATAATGCTGAATTTATGTCTTTTTCTAAATATCATCTTCTGCTGACTGACGCTCTTTGTACCCGTCTTACCAGTCACCGTGTAATGCCCGAGTCACCGTCTTCGTGCTCTGCCCGCGCTATCCTCAATGTGCAGCAGCCGCGACGTTTCTAAGGTCCCACAGCGGATTTC